GTATCTCTGCCAGAAGCCGCCCTGCACTGGAGCTTATGGCCACTGGTCCCAGGGGAGTGCCCGGAAGGGTTGAGTGACCTCAGTCCCAGGTCCGGAGCCTGAGTCACTGTGGCCTGTGCCGAATCTGCAGGTCACCTCTCTGTTCTTCCCATCCGCCAGGGCAAACTTATGTTGGTGGTCTCAGGAGATTGTCAGGAGGGTTGGGTATTCTCAGTACCAGATCCTGAGCTGGGTTTTCTCAGCCAGAATCCATTGGCGCTGGATCTTATGGTGCCTGGTCCTGGGGGAGTACCAGGAAGGGTTGAGTGTCCTCAGTCCCAGATCCTGAGCCTGAGTTTCTTTGCTAGGAGCAGCTGACTGTGTTGGAGCCCCACGCTATGGTCTGTGGCAGAACTCACAGTGTGCCCCTCTATCCTCCAGCTCTGCGAGGGCAGGCTCATGGCAGCAGTCTGGGGGAAGTGCCCAAAAGTGTTTGGTATTCTCAGTCCCAGATCCTGAGCCAGGGTTTCTTTGGTAGGAGCCACTGCTGTCATTAGGGCACAGGCGGTGTGGTCTGTGGAGAATTCTGTTGGCCACCTCCTCTGCCTCCTCCAAAAAGAAATAGGGAGTTGAATACGGGGAAGTGCTTAGGGATCAAGTCCCCAGAGGAGTCTGTGGGTGACCTGATTCTAGATGGACTCAGTTCATGGTTAGTCTCTTTTTCTCTTTTAGGAGTTAGCCTAGATAACTCCTTTCTGGGTTCAGGAGCTCTTTCACTCACCAATTTCGGCGTTTCTGGTCCTTTTCCACTTCAAATAAGGTGCATGCTGGTCACCATCATCTTGGATCCTCCCTGGTTTAAGTTTTGTTAATGTTTCTTTTACAAATGTGGATGCCCTTGTATTTGGGGCGTAGATGTTCAGAATTGTGATGTCTTCTTGGTGAAATTTTCTTTTGATGAGTATGAAATGACCTTCCCCATTTCTTTTGATTAATATTTCTTTGAAAGTTTATTTTATTAGATATTAGAATGGCTACTTCTGCTTGCTTTTTGGGTCGATTTGCTTGGAAAATTGTCTTCAGGCCCTTTACTCTCATGTAATGTCTATATTTGTGACTTAGGTGTGTTTATTGTATGCAATAGATTGTTGGATCTTGTTTACATATCCATTCTGTTAGTCTGTGTCTTTTTATTGGAGAGTTGAGTCCATTGATGTTGAGAGCGATTAATGACCAGTGGCTGTTAGATCCTTTTATTTTGATGTGGGTTGTGGTATTACGTCTGTGTGCTTGTCTACTTTTAGTTTTGCTGTAGTGATGTCATTTATTTCCTCTGTTTTCCTGAATGTAATTAGCTTCCTAGGGTTGTATTTTCCTTTTAGCATCTTCTGTAAGGTGCAATTTGTTGCTAGGTACTGTTGAAAATTGTTTTTGTCATTGAATATCTTGTTTTATCCTTCTATGATGATTGAGAGTTTTGCTGGGTATAGTAGCTTGGGCTGACATCTGTGTTCTATTTGGGTCTGCATGATATCCATCCAGGCTCTTCTTGCTTTCATAGTCTCTGTTGAGAGGTCAGGTGTGATTCTGATGGGTTTGCCATTATATGTTACTTGGCCTTTTTCCCTTGCAGCTTTTTAGTACTTTTTCCTTGTTCTGTATATTTACTGTTCTGATTATGTGGCAGGAGGATTTTCTTTTCTGGTCTAATTTATTAGACATTCTAGAGGCTTTTTGTATGCTTATAGCCCTTTCCTTTAAATTGGGGAAATTTTCTTCAATGATTTTGTTGAAAACATTTTCTGGGCCTTGGAGACAGGAATCTTCTGTTTCCTCTATTCCTATTATTCTTAGTTTTTTTTTTTCTTTTTTTTTAATTTTATTTTTTTTCTTATCAGTTACATTTTATTAACTCTGTATCCCAGCCGTGTCCCAATCCCTCATTCCCTCCCAGTCCCTCCCTCCCTCATCTCTACCGTGCCCCTTGCCAAGTCCACTGATAGGGGGAACCTCCTCCCCATTCATCTGATCCTGTTTTATCAGGTATCTTCAGGACTGGCTGCAAAACTCTCCTCTGTGGCCTAACAGGACTGCTCCTCCCTTGGGGGGGTGGGGAGGCCAAAGAGCCAGTCATTGAGTTCCTGTTAGAAATAGTCCTTGTTCCCCTCACTATGGGAAACCAATTGGTTACTGAGTTACCACAGGCTACATCTGAGCAGAGGTTCTAGGTTACATTCATACATGGTTCTTGGTTGCATGTCAGTCTCAGAAAAGACCCTGTGCCCAGATATGTTTGGTCCTTGTGGAACTCCTATCCTTTCCTCATCAGACTAACTCCCCTTCTTTCTTATGATTCCCTGTACTCTGCCAAAGGTTTGGTCATGAGTCTTTGCTTTGAAAACACTGCTAGTTAGAGTTTTTTCAAATGCGCTCAGTAGACTCCTGTCAATGTTTAATGTGCATCCCATCTGTCTTTCAAAACGAGGATTGATAATCATACCCCATGTCCACTCTCTTGATTATCTTTTTTAGGTGTATAGATTTCATTATGTTTATCATATCTTATAGGTCTATATAAGTGAGTATATACCGTGTTTGTCTTTCTCCTTCTGGGTTATTTCACTCAGGATGATCTTTTCTAGGTCCCACCATTTGCCTGCAAATTTCATGATTTCCTCCTTTTTGATTGCTGAGTAGTATTCCATTGTGTAAAAATACCACAATTTCTGTACCCATTCCTCCGTTGATGGACATATGGGTTGTTTCCAGGTTCTGGCTATTACAAATAAAGCAGCTATAAACATGGTTGAGCAAATATCTCTTTTGTGTACTTGAGCAAACTTTGGGTATATACCTAGCAGTGGTATAGCTGGGTCTTGAGGAAGCACTTTTCCTTTTTTTTTTTTTTTAATTTTATTTTTGTCTCTTCATGTCTTGGATTTCTTGGATAGTTTGTGCCAAGAATTTATTTTAGATTTAACATTTTCTTTAACAGGTACGTAAATTTCTTCCATTGTATCTTCCACACCTGAGATTCTTTCTTCCATTTCTTGTAGACTGTTGGTTATGTTTCCAATGTAGTTGCTGTTTTCTTCCCTAAGTTCTCCCTCGCTGTCATATTTCCCATTTGCATTTTCTTTAAGTTTACCAATTTTATCTTCAGATCTTGGACTGCTTTGTTGATTTCCTTCATCTTTTTTACTATATTTTCTCATTTTTCCTTCAATTCTGTCACCTGTTTGTTTGAACATTCCTCTGTTTCTTTTATTTCTTTCAGTGATTTAATTATTTCTTCTCTGAAGGCCACAAACTGTTTGGCTGCATCTTCCTGTGCTTTTATGGATGGCCATAATCTGTTTGACTTTAACTTCCTCTTATTCTTTATGTATTTTATTTGTTTCCTCCGTTATCCTCTTCAAAAGCTTAGATGTAAGGTCATCTTGAACTTCACTTATGTTAAAGTGTCCAACGCTACTTGTCCATCGATAACTGAGTTCTGGAGATGTCTTATTTCTTTGGCTTTAGTTGGTTGTGGTTTTACAGTGGCCTCTACCCAACTGGCTGTCTCAAGTGTTGTCTGTTAGTTGGTGGTGCCTGCTAGAATCCTGGGGTGGGGAGAATCCCCTTGGCAGGAAGATGGTTGTAAATAAAGGAGACTTCCTCAGGGTTTTGGGTATGGTCACCAGATGGCCAGTGCATCTCAAAGAATTGCCACAGCTCACCTCACATGTATGATCATGTAGGATAACTGGGGTCATTATTGGTTAGGTGAGCCTCTCCTCTCACTAGAAGTCCTGGAGACAGCTGCCCTTCCACTAGGTTTCTTGCTCTGAATTCAGTGAGTTGCTGCTGCTCATACAGTGTGTTTTGCTGGGTACAGCTCTCCTAATGAACCAGGGAGCCCTGCTGTTTGGTCAGTTTAGCTAGGACACAGTTAGCACTCTGCAGCAGTGTCTGGGAGCTCTTCCCATGGATCCCAGGCTTCTGTAGGACTGAAGCTGGAGCTCTGTGCCCCAGTACCTATGCACTAAACAGTGTCAGGTGAGCACAGCACTCATGCATGCTGCAAGAGTTTAGAGCTTGGAGTCTGAGGGAATCCAGGACTTTTCAGTGGATTAGTTGTGTGTCCTGAGGTTAGAGCAGGTATTCCGCCTATGATGGGGTTTCCTACCAATAGGGATACCCAGTCTGTATTGTTTTGGGGTCTACAATTTAGTCTGGGATGGTGAGTAGAACATGCAAGTGCATCTGCAAGAACCTGGGAACATTTCCACAGAACTTTTCCTGGAGTAAGAGGCATTTGGCTTGGTGCCCTGAGTTTGGACCTGATGTTCTTTAAGGTAACAGAAACCAAGTTATCATTGTTTTGTCATTTCTGAACTTGGTGATATACCCAAAATCAACTTTGGAAGTATTTATTAAAGCAAGGCATAAGGCAGATGGTATGTGATCTCAGAAAAGATCTAGCAATGCAGAAAATTACATTGACTATTCATCAATATTAATATGGTACTAAATAAGTGAGCAGTCTTAGGTAAACTTGTTGTTCTCTGTTCCCTCAAGATAAAGTGAAGCACTTTATTGCTGTGATAGCTTGAATATTTTATGATTATTGGTTTCCTCCTGACAGAAAAACCCAGTCTCTGGTGTTTGGGGCCCACAGTTCTGTCTGGGATGGTGAGTTGGGAATGCATGTGTGTCTTTGGGCTCGTGGCTGAATACCTGCCAGAGCACAGGACCTTTTCCAGGAATTGTCTGGCTGACCTGCAATGTGTATGCCAAATTAACCTTGCTTCCTAAGTTATTTTGGTCATGGTATTTTATCAAAGCAACAGAAGAACACTAAGACAGATACTATTTTGTAATTTTCAATACTACTCACACATTTTTGTAAGCATTCAGTATTAATTTTGCACTATAGGTTTGTTGAAACAGAATTCACGTTTTAGTCATCAATTTCTCACCAAGTCGATGAGCTAATGACCAATTTGATGAATTATATTCATCATTTTTTTTTCTAGGTATTATGAGCCATTTATGGCCTATTTTCTGCCAGGCAGTGATAGAGACTTTTTTGTAAAACCTCATTCTGGAGAACTCCCTCCGCTTTACACAAAAGGAATTCCCATCGTTGTAGGATTTAAACCTCAAATGTACAGTAAGAAATATCAAGCAACACTTGTAATACAGGTAAGTTTTAGAACACACAACTTTTAATTTTCAAAGTGAAATAGTTTAGGTATGGAATATAACAAAGTAATTTGTTAAAACTAAGAAATTAGGAATTACTTATATTACATGTTAAGAAAATGCTTTTAAAAAGTTCTTACTCAATGACTTTATTATATTTAATGACTTTATAATATTTGAAGTAAATATTTTTCAAATGTTGATTAAAGCATATTTTCAAAATGTTGAAGTTAAATAGAAGGTAAAAATTTTCAAATTAAATAAAAATTAAAAGTTATCATTGTTAAGACTTCAGTCTCTGCAGCCTTTATTCACCCATCCTTTCATTTCTGGGAAGATTCTCACTTAATCTTATAACTTATGGACAACTTTAAACTGAATATAGAAACTTCCCTAGTGTTAATTTTTATTTCATGGTCAATGATATGAATGCCTGTTTCTTTCAATAGAATGTGTTGATAGCAGTCTTAACTTTGTACGTTATTCCTCACTTAACTAGTACCATTTCGTCTTTGTAATTTAGTATTCTCATTTTCACATTAAAGGGAAATTTTACTTCTTTTAATATTTTCCTAAAATCTTTTAGTTTTACTCATTGGTTTTCTGAATAAATTTTACATTAATTAAAAATTTGAATTAAAAAATGTAATGGAAATTTGGCCATTTCTATAGAAGACAGTTAAAGTAATTGTTTTGCTAATAGTTAAGGTAAATATTACTAGATAAATTTTATAATACTTTGTAGTGAGAAATTTTGAGCTAAAGGTAATGTTGAAATTAGGGAAAAAAGATAACTATTACCACAGTTTACTTCCAGTAGTATAAAAACAAAACTCAGGCTGTCATTCTATAACCCTACAGCTCTGGCTTCCAGAGAAATCCCTAGACTTTAACATCAAACAACAATTAAGCATTGCCATTAGTGGAAGAAAATGTCATTATTTAAATGAATATTGAAAGCACAAATTTAGTTAGAGTTCTATTTTTCATTTTTTGAAGATTTCATAGGACCCAGGACACTCAGGAAGTAAGGGTTAGAGTTTTCTGATTTAGAAGTCAGCCTGGACTGTTGTGTGAGACTCAATTCATGAAAAAAAAAAGAAAGAAAGAAAAGAAAAGAAAAAAAAAGAAAAGAAACAAATGGAAGCTCAGTATCCAAGTGGCTTCCCTAGTAAGGGGAACAGGGACTATTTCTGACATGAACTCATTGATGTGCTATTTGACATGCACATGCCCTTATGTGTGTGTGTGGGGTTATGCATCAAGTTTAGAGGATAACATGCATAAAGCAGTACTTTTCCACCATTGTGTGGGTCCTACAAATGGTAATATATATATATATATATATATATATATATATATACACACATATATATGTATATATATATGCATATATACAGAGATTATATGTATTTTAAGTGCATATTATAACAATACACTGTACAAACTAGGAGAGTTACCCTGGAGATTCATAAGAGCCATTGCACGTATCAAATTAGTGATCTTAAAAATCACTCTTGATATACTCTGACTCTAAATCCCATTTAATTTTAACAACTTCTATACTTAAACTTGTGTTACAGGTTAAGACATTTCAAAAATCAACTTATTATCTAAATTAAATTTATTACTTACACTATTGTCATTTAAAATATTTAGGTTAAGCATTAAGTCAGTAGTTGCAACAATATGATATTCTACTTCACTAAGAAAAATAAATGATTTATAAGATTAATTTTAATAAATCTTGCCTAGACAAAGTTCAGAAATCGTGTTCTCATGCTTTGTAATTTCTCACTCAACTAAGTCATCTTTATGATAAATTAAAACCTGTTATTTTTCAAGTAGGAAAGAGGGCAAATAGCAATAGCTTTGATAGAATGAAGTTAACTTTTCCATTTATTTTTAAAAAGTCATGCTACTCAAAAAGGGTAGAAAATCTAATTTGTTTCTCATAGTAACTGTGGAAAATTTTGGTTTATAAAACTGTGAGTACTGGAGCTGGCAAATGGCTCAGTTGGTAAAGTATATGTTGTGCAAGCCTAAGTACCTGAGTTCCAATCCCCAGCTTGCTCAGAATTTAGGCACTGTGGCACAAATGTAGCCCCATTTTGAAAGACAAAAGATGAGCAGATCACTAGAGTTCTTTGGATATTCAGCCTAGTTTAATGAGTGAGCTCTAGATGCAGTGTGCAGCCCTATCTATAAATAAATAAATAAATAAATAAATAAATAAATAAACAAATAAATAAATAAATAAATAAATAAATAAATAGGTAGATAAATAAATAAATAAATAAATGGATGAATAAATAAATAAATAAATAAATAAATAAATAAATAAATAAATAAAT